TATTTTTATTTTACATACATACCTGCATGTATGTAAGTGCACCTGTGTTGTGCAATGCTGCGGAGGTCAGAAGAGGGCTTTGGATTACCCTGAACTGGAGTTAAGGATGGTTTGTAGCCCACACATGGGTGCTAGGAACTGAACCCAGGTCCTCTGCAAGAGTAATCAGTGCTTTTAACTGCTGAGCCATCTCCCAAGCCCTGACAATTAAAATGTTTATACAAATTTTACTAAGTGGATAAAATTAATGATATTATTAACTGAAAATTTACCCTTTTAAATTTGAAAAGCTAAATTGCCAGCCTGGGTTATTCCTGTTTTCAATCTGATTAAGATGTTTTTAGACGGAATCTTTAACGTGAGTAGATTGCTGAGGAATATAGACAAATAAAGAACATGGCTGTGTTTGCATCCTGTTGTTTATGGAGTGGTGAAGTATATTCAGGAAGATATTTTGTAAACCATGCTAAAATGTTTATTTCCTTAGTAGATATGAATATCTTGAATAGGATTTTATAAAATATTAACCACACATGTTCTTTCTTATTTAATAGCTGTGTGTATACCCATGCTTGGGAAATGGCACTGAGGTGTTAACATGGGTTACTTACTGTGGCCATGTTTTTTTTTTTTTTTCTTCTTTTTTTTTTTAAATAGACTTTGATTTTTAGTAGCATTAGTTTCACAGTATTGAAGCATAGTCTTTGACCTTGAGCAGTCATGATCTGGTTTGTTAAAAGGAATCTGTTCTGTTGTCCGTCTCAGTGCATATGCAAAGTACACTTTGACAGTCGTGTTTGTTTTCCTGTAATTGTTCCTTGTCACCGTACTAGCATTTGTGCTGTGATCACCTTAGGAGAGGTTCACTAAATGACGAAATGGAGCAGAGTAGCAGTACGTTCGCCAGCACACTGATCGAGAAGGAAACATTTTTTGAAATCTTTTTCATGTCTGGGAATAGTGTGACTGTGTCTTGTGATTTGTTATTCTGTTTTTCCTGCTTCAAGATTGAAAACTTTTATGTATTTCATATTCTGGCAGCTCAAACATGACAAGTCTTTCAAATTTCTTACTTTGAAAAATTTTTGCTAATATGAACTACACTCATTACAAGTGCACATGCCGAGCTGTATAGAAATTGTTAAGGCCTCAAAGAGACCTTAGGTAGCGTTTATATAGTTCTCATAGCTTTGAAAGTGACTGCTGATTGATTAGTAGTCAGTTATTACTAAGCCCAAGCTACTTACAAATTTAAATTTACTTGCAGGAGTAAAGCATAGAAACCTTTACAATATCAAAGTTTTGATTTTTAAATACATAATTTATCATTCCTCATTTTTCTCCACTTTTAAAGTTGTCTAGTATCTTACCTGGCACTTTCTGCTTTGGGGAAGAAGGATATAGATTGCCTTGGGTTGGACTGCTGTAAAAGACTCAAATCATAAAAATTCACATTTTCAATTTCCATAAAATTGCTTATATAATACTGGCATTATGAAAGTGTAGTTCAACAGTGTAATAGAATTGTGTATTGATTTTAAAGAGAAACTCTTATAGTTTCTGCATTTCAGTATGTCACGCAGTCTGGAGCATAGATGGTACAGGTAACTGTGTAGCTTTGGCACACTAGTGCTGTGGGGAGGTGTGGCTGCTATGATTTTTAAGTTTTATTAGCGAAATTTATTCTGGAAACTACGTACTCACAAAGCAGAAATGATCAAATAAGAAAATGTCCTCATGTCCTTGTCTCTGTCCTTCACAGCTTTACCATGAATAGTCCTGTTTTATCCCCGTACCTGCTGTCACTACGACCTTTCCCCAGTGGTCCAGAAGGGATCTCAGACGTTTTATAATTGTATTGGTATTTCAGTCTCTCCTTCCTAGTCCTTTACTTCTCCCAGGGCTTCCTACTTCCTGGGCAAGCACTCTGACCACTGAGCTATATCCCTAGATCTTCAGTGTGTATCTCTGAGAATACCAGCTATTTTCATATCATGCAAGTACAAATTAGCCTTATTGCAGAGAAGTTCAGGAATACTTGGGAACAGTCCTTTCAGTGCATTTTATTGTAGTTAATATGTGTTTATAAACTACTTGGGTATTTTATTATCTTAGTGAATCTGGAAGGATTTGAAATGCTGATTCTGTGCATAAATCTATGAAAATCTGAATTGCCTGTCATGGACACGGAGGAAGTTACGCTATAGTCCTCATTTCAGAGACAGCTGACAGTCTTTGTCAGTAGTTCATGCCTCGTCCTCTAAAACTGTATATTTAAATGCTGAAAGAGGAACTGGGTATGTGGTGTACGCTTTTAATACCAAGACTCATGAGGAAGACACAGATGGATCTTGAGTTTAAGACCAGCCTAGTGTACATAGAGCATTCCAGGCCAGCCAGGGCTACATGATGAGTTCCCATCTCACTGCCCCCCCCCACCCGCTGCTGTGCCACACACTAAAATGCTGAGAGACAAGCAGCATATAACAGTAACAGTAACATTTAGCATTCTGTAAGGTTGTGTGTCATCCAGAGAGAGAGGGAGGGAGGGAGGGGGAGAGAACAAAAAAGAAAGGGGACGAGGTAATATGGGGCACTGAAGAGAGATGGCAGAGTAACCTGCACAGCATAGGACCAGGATGTGGAGATGGAGCTTACCCTTTCTCTCACTTGGCTTCGTCTTGAATCATATGTCTGCCTATCTTTGGCCTTAACTAAACCTTGCCTGTGGCATTAGGGTCCAAAAGACTACTGATTCCTTTCATGTAGGGTGTTTTATGATGAGGTTGTGAGATAAAACTTAAAAACCAAACTGTTTTATTAATAGTTGTGCTGTATTTGCTTTTATACCAGTATGTAGGGTCTGCCAGCCATGGTGTACACGGGTGTGCCTTTAGTTCCAGGACTTGGGGACTTGGGAGGCAGAGGCAGGTGGGTTTCTGTGAGTTCAAGGCCAGCCTGGTCTACATAGTGAGTTCCAGGCCAGCTGGGGCTACAAGGGAGACCCTGTCTCAAGAAGTCCAAAAGGAAAAAAAAAAAAAAAAAGGGTTGTTTATTTAAACTAATTGCAGTAGTTTGGTACTTTTTGTGGTCTGAGTTGAGCTGTCTGTACTCTGTGGATGAATTATATGTTGTGGAAAATATTAATTTTGTACAGACTTTTGGATTCAATGCTTTTACTGGAAAATTGTGTAATTTTTCTTTTTCTGTGTTCTCTCTTAACTGCCCATTGAACTGGATGAAATTGATTTCTATTCAATTTGGACTGTGCAGTTCACCAGATTCCTTTGCAGTTCACCTTTGGAGGTAAGTGCTCCTCGCTGACTATAACATTAAAATTGCTGAGTAGCACTGTTGGTGTCTTTCGTTAGACGTTTATTTGATAATATAGGAATCGTCTCTTTAAAGTGACACCTTTTCAATAATAATAATGGGATGAAAGCCCTTTTGGTAAAATTTCCTAGAAGTTAAAGCTATTCACCTTTATAACTAACTGGTCACTGCCCTCTCATTAAAGCACACTTGTTTCTCAATAAGTAGAGAAGAATCAGTCCTTCACTTGTATTCTGATGACTCCTGTGCTGCTTCACCTCTGCTTCAATTGCCATCATGTCCTGGCAGAGCTGGAGAAATAGGCAGAGGTAATCATCAAGACAGTTTTACTGGGGGGGGCGGTGAAGAGATGGCTCAGTAGTTAAGAGCACTGGCTGCTCCTATAGAGGATCCAGGCTCAGTTCCCAGCACCCACATGACAGCTAACAACCATCTGTAACTCCAGTTCCAGGAGATGCGATGCCCTTTTTTGACCTCTACAGACATTGCACACATGGGTGTACTTATATCTATGCAGGGGAAATGCTCATACACTTAAAATAAAAATAAGAAAAAATTTCACTTGTGTGGTGGTTTGTGTAAGAAGGTCCCCTATTGGCTTAAGTATTTGAACATTTTGTCCCTACTTGGTGGCTTTGTTTTGGGAGTTGTTAAGGTGTGGCCATGCTGGAGGAAGCATATCATTGGGGGCGGGCTTAGAGAAGTTGGTTTCTTTCTTCCTGTGCCTGTATGGAGATGGGAGCTCTCTGCTTCCTGCTCCTGCCCCAGCCACCTCCTTGCCACCATGTCTCCCCGCCATGACGGACTGTTAACTAAATAAACTCTTCCTTCCATAAGTTCCTTTGGTCAGTGTTTCTATCACAGCAACAGAAAAGAAACTAATACACCTTGGTAGCAGAGAGAGAACTTACCTGGTGGTGAGCTTTTTATAACAGGGATGGTGTTTTGGGTCTTTTCTTCACTTTTTATTCGTTCTGGTTCTCATTTGGAACCGAGACAGTGATCAGTTATGCGATTTGAAAAAATGAGATATTTAGAGAGCTTGGGTTACAGAAAAGCTTTTTAGATTATTGTTGAGACTTAGAAAAAGTAGAGCTGGGGGAGGAGTCAAGAAGGTTGGACTGTGGACCATGCCTGGGTTTGAGAGTGTGTCTTCACTTACTAGCCACATGACACTGGGAACCACCAGCTTGCTCAGCCTCATTTTCTTACTTTAAAGTGCAAGTCACCACTCAGTGAGGTGACAGAACTGGGAGCAGCACTATGCTTTTGAAACCTGTGGTAGTTGTACTCTCCTTTTGGGCTGCCCTTCAGGCTGCTGCTGATGCTGTACTCTTTTCCTTGTCTTTCTCCTTGTTTCTGATGTTTATGTCACTTTAAGCCCTTTTTCCCATTCCCAAGTTCTCAATTCATACTCTTTTTCAGGGTTGAACTGTAGTCTCACATTTGTGGGATAGTTTTCTATCTCTTCACATGGGGCAGTCGTTTCTTTTTTCTGCTTCCGTAACATTATTTGATTTTTGAAACTGTTGTTGTTGGTGATGCCATATGGCCTGGTGACGATCACCAGGGGAAATGGACGAGACCAAAGAGGCTGGTACCAACCAGGTTTGGTCACCCTCATTTTCTAAAGATTTAGAATCAAGGAGGATGCAGAGTGATAACAGTGGAAAGCTTCCGAGCTATGAGATGAGGGAGAAGTCCTTGAATGTTTCTGAGCTGCTGTCTGCTAACTGAAGATGGGGTAATACTGACAAGGTATTGCAATTAAATGAAGTGATTTGTGGTCAACACTGAGCATGTACTGGAAACAGAATTTTAAATAGTAGCTAAGTATGAATCAACAAGCATAAGAATATTGAAGACAACGTATGCGTTATTATCTGCTTAAGTTGAGTCTAGTCATGGGAGTAGTGGAAACTATCAGAAAGGAAAGGCTAGGGGCTGGAAAGATGGCTTAGTGGTTAAGAGCACTGGCTGCTCTTGCAGAAGACCCGGGTGCAGTTCCCAGCACCCGCATGGTGGCTAACAACTGTCAGTTACTCAAGTTCCAGGAGATTCGATGTCCTATTGTGGCCTCTGCAGTCATGCACACACATGGTTCATTTGCATACATGCAGGCAAAATACTCATATATATTAAATAAAAAATTTTTAAAAAGGAAAAAGTAGAAAAATTAATTTGGTTATGTAGGGAGACAATATTGTACCTGAAAACAAACGTAGTTAAGACAATTTACGTGATGAAGTCATTGTTTAATGTATTAATCTTTTACACTCATATTTTTGCTACTTATTTTGCATAAAATTAAATATAAGTATTTGATTAGATAAATACAAATCGTAAGTGGTGATCAATGTAATTTTTTATTAGTAATGAAGGAAATGCAGCTTTAAAGCAGTACAGTTGGGCAGAATTGCTTCCATACACAGTGCTAGGGAGGGGCGGGAGCTGGAAGTGCACATCACTGAGTAGTTGGAAGGTATTAACCATTTGCAAAAATACTTCTAAACAGGGTTCACCAATAAATTTATCTCAAATACAAGTTCAGTGAGAAGAAGCCCTTGATTTTTCTCATGTTTCTACTCTTAATTAACAGTAGTACATGGTAGGCATTGATTTAATAATTATTTGTTGGATGGATGGTTGGAGAGGAAGGGAGATGTTATGAATAACCTTGGTGGGACCGAGGCTGACTGTAGCAGTCTTTTATTCATAATTTAACAGGATTCAACTAATAGAAATACACTTTACTATTGTGTTTTAATGTGGTTAACTCTGCGTAGCTTGATTGTAGCTACTTAAGATGGGAAACTTAGTCTTTACTTCATTGGATGCTGTTAGTTACAGATAGGTCTCAGAGTTTAGCAGCTATCCCTACAATGAACCAAACAAAGGTTTTTAAGTTATATCTCACTACTGTGATTAATTTTTATTTATTTTTAGTTTATGTGTATGAGTATATTGCCTGCATGTGTGTAAGTGCACCCTGTATCTTGCAGTCCCCTGGGAGGTCAGGAGAGGGTGTCAGATTCCCCTGGAACTGGAGTTAGGGACAGTTTTTAGCTGCCATGAGGGTGCTGGGAATTGAACTCAGATCCTCTGCAAGAGCAGCCACTGCTCTTAACTACTGAGCCATCTCTTAAGCCCCTCACTACTGTGGTTAAACATTGGGAATCTTGTAATACGGAATCAGTAATCTTTGGAAGAGTATCATGATCAAAGTTTAGTGATAGTTTGCCATTTTCTGTTAGCTTTCCACTCAGTGATCTGAAGTAGTATTGTACTTTGGTCACACTGATCTTTTAAAAATACTTTTATTATTGGGCTTATGGATATGGAAGAGAAAGATGAAGTCAGTAAAGATGGTCAAAAGGTCTGTCTGTCTCTCTGGTGGGAAATACTTTGAGTATTTCTGTTGATATTTTTCTAGCTTGGAATTCACAGGAGATGCCAGATGGTTTAAAGAGTGGTGGCCAATCTCTAAATCTTCAGTAGCCCCGAGCTCAGCAGTCAGGATTCAGTTTTTTTCCACTAGACATTGAGTGTAGTAGCAAAGCCAGGGCAGGATAATGCAGGAAGCCTCAAGTGCTGAATTGTGCTGTTAAACTTATGTATTAGCTAGAGATGAAAACTACAAATATAGTGAATACCCATCACCTTCCATAATTTTGAAAAAAAGAAAAATTCCAGTAGAGACAATGGAATACACAAGACTTACAGTTGACAAAACTGATTTTGAGTTTCACTTTGTCAACAAAAAGTCCTATGAATGTACCATGTCCCTCTGTTGTGAGTTCTAATCATTTAACTGCCACATGAATCTAATGAAATTGTCAGGTTATAGTAATTACGTCAGTAATCTGATATGTTGTCATTTGAATGGCCCATATGTGGAGTCAGTTACTCCCCTCTGTGGGGCTGACCCTTTTGCATTCCTGTAAGCTGAAGACTAACAGCACTCATTAAACTTTATGGGAAGAACTTTCATCACCTCGTCAGCCGGGTGGTGTCTTTCTATTCTAGTCCTAATTTTGTGTAGCTCTGAAGCTGCTGATGTGCTCTCCCCTGCTGTGTTTACATCGGGCTTCTGCCTTACAGACATTTTTATTGACATTTCTGAGCCTGAATTGCATTTTGTGTGGCACCACTTACATATGTCTTCAATTAAATGTAGGTAAATAAAAGATTATATATCAGAGGCCAAAAGATTCCTGAAATTCTCTTTGGAGTCAGACCTTGCCAGCAGTCCAGGGGCTTCAGTCTCCTTGCCCTGTTGGAGAACAGAGGTGCAGGAGACGATCTGCAGCCCAAGCCGGGCTGCGAGGGGACATAGCTCACTGGGGCTCTCTTGAGCATGACCCTCTGTCCCTTCATTCCAGACTCAAGTCTTCTCTATTAGTAGTCAGAGGAATTGCTTATTGAGAAGCTAGCATCTGTTGTACCCAGGACTGTGCTTACCGCTTTCCTTGTAATTAATTCTAACAATATCTACCTCTTCTGAAGAGAATTGAGCCCAGAAAGGTAGATTACACTAGCCAGAATCTCCAGTCATAGCTAACGATATGGGACAGCAAGAGCATGGAAGGAAGAAGTGGAATGACACTGCTCTAAGACTCTTACTGAAGTAAGGCAGTAGTAAGTCAGTGTGTTTAGTGAACTGGAGAGCAGGATTTATGAACCTCAGCATTGCAGGCATCGTAGGCTTTGTTGGGAGGAGCTGAACTGACATTGTAGGAACTTTAGATGTATTTCTGGCCTCTGCCCACTAGATGCCAGCAGCAACCTCTTTCACTTTTCTCCAAACTGCTGAATGTACCCTGTTGAAATCATTGTGGTAGGTGGGGTCCGGGGGTATTACAGAGAGAGTTTAATAAGCCAATAATGAAGATGCAATGATAAAATGTTTTCAGTCTAATTAAAGAAAAAGAAGGAAAACTGGAACAGATGAGTGGGACAAATATAAAACTATA